CGAACATACTCCTTGCCACAACTTGATATGTTTGGTCCCGTGGATCACCTGTTTAGGCGTATTTGTGACCGACTGAAGTATGGTAGAGATGCCTTGAAGGCGAGACATGTACATCTTGAGAGCGAACTTAAACTGTTGACAGCACAGATTGCGTGTGTAGACACTGGGGTCCATGTAAAACTAGTTGCGTGTGCTAACATAAAGCGAAACTTGGAAGATCAGGTCACACTTGGACCGATGATGGTGGGATTTGGTGACGCGCTTCGCTTGATCCACACCGAGTCTGACTGTGCACATGATTCGTGTATGGAGGTTGTAGTGACACCCCTAAACACACCTACACCAATCCAACCAAATACACCCTCACCTGTATCACCAGCGTTGTTGGACGACGCCGTGACCGAACCAACAACTACAACATCGTCAACACACTTACCAACAACAACCACGGCCACACCAATACCCGATACTCCACCACCCGAAACCGTAACGTTGGACGACGCTATAACTGGAACAAATCCTACGCTTACACCACGGATACTAAATGAATCTACACTCTCGGGGCTGCCGGATGATACCGTAACCCGAAAGAGAAAGTATACGTCGAGTTCCTCAGGTGAATACAGACGAGTTGGTTCAATTCGTGCAAGGGAATATCTGTTAAGCAACCCCAAGCGGCATAACTGTAGTGACCTTGTGTCGTCGATTGGTCTAAATCGAACCTCGGGACAGTCGGTAGTATATAAACTCCAGAAGCTAATCATCGAAAAGCCCGGGCTCTTTTCGGGTTTAGACATGAAACACGAAGCGGGTGAGCTGAAGAAGGAGATATCGGTGATAATTCGTGAATATTATAACCCCCGTATCGGGAAGTACAGCCTTGAACACAAGAGCCCACTCTGTAAAGCACTGTTTGTTAAATTCCTAATTCGAGACTGCAGTGGTGATCTCATGGAACTGATGGCGTTTAAAACCCTGTTTGACGAGTGCTGGAACTCGACCTGTGCGCTAGCCGACAACAACCAAGTAGGATAGGGGGGGTTTAGGGTTTTAACAGAGTATATAAAAGTCAATTAAACGAACCCTAAAACAATGGACTTATACGTTAGAGGTACTATTTTGTCGGGTTGCGTGTGTTCTGTCCGACGAAACCCCCCTTTTGTCCGAAGGGGTTTAGGGGTTAGGTGGTTTTATTGGGGAAGATACACTGAGCAAGTTAGGGTTCCCTAAACCCTCAAGGTATTGTTTTGCTATGCCCAACAAAACACCCCTAACCCCTATTCGCGTTCACCAACCACATCTGAACGGTGAACTCCCCACCAAACCGGAGACTCTCTATACGAATATGTATAAATAGGTGAGTTTTGCCTCTCACCCAACACACTTTTAAATATACACCGAGTGAGAGTGAGAGTGACCATGTTTGTATCGGTCCCCAAATCTACGGTCAAGAAGATCAGCCAAGACGAGTACGTTGCTACTCTACTATCCCAGATTGCAGTCTTGGACTCTCGTGCGAAACGGGCTGGTGCGACCCGCTCGTTGTACCCCGACGTGTATGATGACGTTGAAACTAACGATCG